CGTGTGTGTGTCTGACAGAACAAGAGAGAGAGAAAGCGAGCAGTGAACTGCAGATGTCTGGCTCTCACAGCAAACACAGCTTCTGCAGGAAACTAAGACATACAGTATCTGTGCAAACGGTGCAGATATTGTCAGCTGCTGAGCAAAAAGCCTCCTTTAACTTGCACTTCTTAATAAGGGAAACGCTGATTGCGATGCAGGACTCCGCTAATAGCAGGATATCACTGTGCAATATTGCTCTAGAACACATCGACGTGCCGGGCCACTTATTTTCCTCTAATTAACAACCTGACAATGAAATTCGTCGCATTGGTTACACTTACCAATGTGGTTATTTTCTGACACTGCCACCCAACAATTAAATTAGCGCCTGCCCATCACAGCTTAAAGTGGAGCGTTGACTGCGTCCCGATTTAAAATAACTTGCTGCTGTGTTAATGAGACCGAGCGAGCAGCGCGGCCTTTCACTGCCGCTGAATAGCCACGTTCGCCGTCAACATGCGACCAACACGGAGAGCTCATTTAAAGTGACATTAGCCAATTCTGCATGCTAATTACTTTCAAAATATGACACGGAGCTGGGGAAGGGTGGGCTTTCAGCATCCCTCTGCACTGCCACGCTGAGTGATAAGGGCTTCGATAAGCTGCTTGAAACTATTAATTAGCTGCAATGGATTCTTACAGTCAATGGGGTTTTGTTTATCCTCCTAATGTCACTCCTTCGATTTCATTTTGGAGACTGAGCAGAATGGAAATGTGTTTTGTTTGCTCTTTTACTGCCTGATTTTTAAATCTCCTACTTCATCGTAAAGAATGGGGAAAATAATAAGCAAATTCAAGCCTGCATAGTTTGGATGAATTTTAAACGCGTGACTTCTGGAGCAAAACAAAGAAAGCTGCCACAACTGTGTTAAGTTGTATTGCTACATGCGCCAAAGAGTGCATTTAAAAAAAGAAAAAACAAAACACTGGATGAACATATGGCATGAATACTTTTGTATTTAATCCTTTCCTTTACTATTTATTTTCCAACAATCAGAGCAGCCATCAGAGATCGAAACCTCTAAATCAGACATGACTTTCAGGGATGCTTGCTGACAAGCTTTCAGATCACAGCCAAAGATAGCTCAGTGTGATGTACATCCACATCAAAGAACTGCTGATCCTCACAAGGTCCAAGGTCCCTGACTAACCTGCATCAACAATCGGTGAGGTTTGCTCCAACAGCTGGGGGACATATCAAAGAATGCCAGCATCACTAACTGTGTCAACAATTACTCTGTGTCATAGGAAATCAAAAGAAAATAGTGCCGCGCTTTACCGCTTCAGCCCACTCATTTCTCGCCTCTCTGGCTAATATTTTTGTTTTTCTCTCTTTGGACGGCTGCTTCTAGCCCATCTTGGTCGATCGATACTGGGAAGCCGAGGTGAGTCGAGGCGGGTCTGTGTGGGAAGGCTGTCAATGATGAATGGTTAGATGCGGGGGTTTTAGGATATTCGGCTAATTCTGATGTCTTTCACCTGCGTTTATCAAAAAATATATTCTGCTTGCTTGTTGCTCACATAAGCATCTATTGAGTCCTGCTGACATGAAGCGGGGTGGGCCGAAGCGAGGCTACAGAGTTCAGCTGTGCAGTTTGAGATGTCTGTGTACTTTTAAAGGGCAACAAACTTTCCGCAGATAAAGTCAAGGCTGCTTGCTTTCCCCAGCAGCCTCAACAACAGCGAGCTAACAAGCTGCGCCCTGTTAAAAGCCGGACATGACAACTCTTCTGTTAAATTATAATCCTAGAGAGGCAACTTTACGGTGTACCTTTGATATCTTGATGTGAGACTTTCTCAGCCGGCAGCCCCGCCCTGGCTAAAAGATGAGGTAGATACTTTGCCTCTGTTGTGTAAAATCTGTGATGTGAAAAGATTTAATTAAGATAGGCCGAGGAGTCATAATTAATTCTGCCTCTCTCTGAGTCAGGCTTACTGTCAAGAACACAGGGAAAGGCTCCCAGAATAAATTACAGGAGGGTCGTGTGTGTGTCTGAGGGGGTAATGGGTGTGGAGCCCTTGGTTACTGTACTGTTCTCGCAGAGCCGAAAAGCAGTTGTGTCAGTTCTGGGTAGTGTTCACAAAGTCTAAGTGAGCCCGCCGGCACTTTTTTTTAACAAGCGTCCCACCGTCTTAGATCAAATCACGTTTCAGCCCAGGAGTTTATTTTGACTGTCAGTGAGGAGCATCCTCTGGAGAGAGCTGTCAGTGACAAATGTGAAATGGAAGATTCACAGCGAATGGGCTCTTTCCAGGCAGGCGGTGCTGAACACGGCTGCAGTCACAGGAGACCTCTGAACTGTCTGCGGCTCGACTCTCCCATTACACTTCCTTTATAGTGATGGTCTGGCCTATTTTGAATCTTGTTTGGTCCTTGTTCAGCTACCTAAGCTTGTAATAGGAGGAAACGAAGGGTACATCTCCAGAGAAACACTCATTCTGACACACAGTCTATTTTGTTCAAGTGGCATAACTTAAAAAAAACCCTTCATAAGTCTTAACAGAGACTACATGTATTATTACCAGTGTCTCCTTTGCATGTCCTTAACAAGCGGATGAGCATTTTCTGTTTTCTCTGCATGTGGTTGCAAACAGCTGGGAGGCAAGCGCCTCATTCGTCAAGAATTTCTCTCATTCAACCCTAATTTCCAAAGTCCAGTATTAATCCCTCAAGCTGCAAATTCTATGAGCTTTTTAGCTTTGGCCAAACACGCAACAACTGTCTTATTATCAGGAGACGACAGGCAATAATGAGTATGGCCAGAGCCGAGCAACTGCTGCTTTGAGCTTTCAAAGAAAGAGCCTAATTAAAGGCTGCTTTGTGACTTTTGTCACTTTTTTTGACTGGTGATTATAGGCCATTCATTGGGGAGGACTCATCAGCTATTTGCGGGTGGCGCACGCCATAAATATCACGTGAGAGCTTTGCTTATGTTGTGCCGAACCCGCATTTTTTTCCCCCCAGTAAGCTCCCAAGATTCTCTCGCTCTAATTTGCAGAACAAATTCCTTTACTTTCTGCAGAATCTCCTCTCGCTAATAAGGTCGTCTCATAAACGGCTTTTCAGAGACAAACTAGGCTGTTTAAAAATGCAGGCTCCTTGGTATCTTTTCTGTGATTTCCTGTAATTAAGTACTGGAGAGAGCAGCGGAGTGAGCGTCCTTGGCATCGAGGACAAGTTCAGTAGAACAAGCTTTGTTCCTTTTGGAGCTGATTTGACTAATGGCAGAGCTATATTAGCCCTCTGCTGGTTTGCAGCATCTTCTAAATCACCCCTCCACTGCTACTAAAACCATACGTCTCCAAAAAGTGGCCTACTGCTGTATTTGGGCCAACTCTAATTGTCTCGCTAATCTCTTCAGCGTTAAATGACCCAGAGAAACTGGGTCCCACAGGGCAGACTTACCCTGCTGATTGGAGACTTTGCTTTTTGTTTTGCTTGGCATATTAAAACAGCATAGGCTGCTGATGGAAAGCCTACAGAACTATTGGAAATGTAATTAAGGGCTAGCAGCAGCTTTTAAACGGTTGACTAGTGCAGAAACAAACTGTGCCCTTCAGACAGCAAAAACTTTAATACATGGGAAATGAGTGGCCCGATCGATAAGGAGGGCGTTATTTCTTTTGTACGGGAAAATTCAATGGAGGACAGAAATGGGCTGTTTCGGTGCCTGCATACTATTTCTCATTTTCCCAGCGGCGAGCCAAATTTTATGGCAATATTTGCTTGAAAAGCAGACAAATAGAGTCCTCTCTGTAAGATATAATCATTTGTCAAGTCAATTTCGTCTGTCATTAAAACAAAAACAAATAGCTGCTGTAAGCTGTGCCGACTGCAATTGAATCTCCAGTGTTTTGTGATGAGGCACAAAAGATGAATTTAAAAAAAAGAAAACTACACAGCGCATGTACTCCTCAGGTGCTGAGGTGAGGCAGAGTTGAGAAATGCTTCAATCAAGCACAATTATTTGTTGAAACCATTTTGGACTGACAGTGAGCACCCTATTGTCCCTACAATAGGCTGTTCACAATTACATTCATCACAAACCACCTCTTATTTGACGCATTTTTTTTTAAGCTGACATCTTTCACAAACTGCTTTTCCAAACAAGCCGGCCTATGGGGCGAGTGATTGAGCAATTATCAGAAACAGATTCAGCAAACCCATACTGTGGCCTTTTGTCCCCGGCATCAGCCAGCCTTGGGATCATTAGAAACCTTTTCTCTTCGTGTTTTCTCTCTTCAAAACCTCCGGCTTTGTAGCCTGCACACAAGCGGGATGATACAACACCTTCAGAACTAGTAGGAGTCCATCCCTGGCTATCTGTCAGTGTAGCAAACCCCCCCAAAAAACATCAAAGTCTATCAAACACTATCTCACTGTGCTGCCTCTGATAAATATTCATGATAGAAGCTCGAAAACCAGCTGTTTTTCTCCAATTAAAGTGTGCCGAGATCTACTGTTTTGGAACTAAATTGTTGCTTTTTTTAATTAATGGCTCATGTTACTGCACTAGGAACAACTGAAAAATATTGTACTCATTCCAGAGATGTGCTGGATGGGAACATATGGATAACAAGGTGAGGAAATGGTGCGGCGCAGAGCTTCCGTTACTCACGGCAAAGGGAGGGGTACATCCTATTAGACCTTATCAGAAAGATGTGAATGGCGCTTTGGTAACAGGTATTGAACGTCAGCCCAAGTGGCCATGCAGAGCAGATCAAATCAAGTCATCAAAAGATCCTCCTTACATCAAAGCACAGAGCAGGCCTGGCCACGTGCCTGCCATACCAACAGTGCAGAGACAAAAAGCGGGGCAGCCAAAACTGGCAAAGCGGCACAGACGGCTGCCCGCTTCAAAGGCAGGGATCTGCTGTCTGCGGTCATTATTCCCAGGCACCCCCCAGAAACCCAGCGGTCAATGAAGGCGAGCGGCGAGAAACCACTGAGGACTTACCATCAACAGTCGGTGCGAAGTGAAGTGGGTTGTCTGAAAAAGATAAAAGAGAAAGAGAGAAATAGGTTTTTAGTTTTGGGGAGATTCAGCGACTTCCCAGGAGTAAAGGGAATAAATTGAGTTGCTACAAAAAAAAGAAGAGACAGGGCTTGGCGTTTTCATCTAACACATTCTAATGCAATGACTGGGTCCTACAGGAATCCAGCTGAGCTAATCGACACAAGTGCATTTCAGCGATAGCGCTATCATCATTGTCATTCATTACATCTATGGTCTATCTGATCTGAACCCCGCTGCATGACTTTTGATATTAGAGCACATGAGAGTTGAGAAGGCAGACGTCTGTTATTGTTTCAGATTCAAAAGTATGAGACAAGATGTGAAATTACACAATACTGATGTCATAGTGTACCTCGGACCCCCACCAGCCCTCATGCAGCTATATGCATAATAAATCAGAATGTTTTCCCTTAATTCATCAAATGACATCATACCGTTGTCCTGGTCAAAACCCAGCAGACCATGACATAAGGCTCGTCGTTTCATGGGAACCATAAAACAAGACCTGCGGTGTCAAATGACTGAGTGTGGAAAATCACTCACAGGGGGAAAAAACTCTCAGGTAACCTGAATCCTTTGCAAATGAGTGCAAACTTGACCAGGCCGTTTGCACTGATTACAAACCCTTATATATAATGAAGATTGATGGAGGTTGGTTCCACATTACTTGACAGGAAAAACAGGAGCTATTGTTAAAAACTGAAACACGGCTAAAACTAACAATTGTTATTACATTGTTGCTTAATCTCATGATTATTTTTCAATTAGATGATCAATTTGTTTAGGAGCCAAAATAAAAAAGGAGTGAAAAAAGCAATTTCCCAAAGCCTTGGGAGATGTTCAGTCTGCAAGCCCAAAATGTGTAATTTCCAATGTTAAACAGCCAATTTCCTGATTTTAGTGGCTATAACCAGGGAAAAAAAGTTTTCTTGCAAAACAATGGCCTATTCATGCTGGGGTAGATTAATTTTCTGTGGCTTGACTAACTGATTAAACATCTGATCATTTAAGTGGTGAACGGAGGACAATCAAGTATACAGGCAGCACACACATATGGTACAAGTGAAGTAAACACAAGTCCTGCAGAGTTATACTATGTCAATTAAAAATAACACAGGATCAGTCCTGAGCTCCGCGTGCACACGTGTACAGAAGGAAGCAGACATGCTCTTTCTTAAAACAATTATTAAATATAATAATAATAAGTAAAGTAGCACAATCAGCTGCCTATTCATTGAGGCCCTCATCCTGTGGAGCACATTCAAATCCACCGTCTTGGACAGCAGCTGTTCTGTTCTCCGCCTGCCGCAGGTTCTAGGTGGTGTGTGCCCAGATTTCATCACTACAACCACTAAACTAGAGAAATCGTGGATGGCCAGACAGGAAGGACTGGAGCTAGTTAGTCTGCAGCAACTCAACTTCCAAAATATGATAGATGGAGATTGTTCATTAGTAAATTCACCACAAATGGCGTCTTATTTTCAGACTTATGAAAGGATAAAAGGAAAAAATGACCAGAATGTGTCAACAAAACATGTATTTAGCTAAGCGGAGAGCCCGAGTAAAGTGTGCGCACCAGAAACACTACAGGTCATTACCACCATTAGTACCATTAGTAGCGATCTTTGCCATCTTTTCCTCGAAGAGCATTATGATACACTGGTCAAAGACTGGCCAAGTACTGGCGGTCCAAGCACAACCCAAATGAACCACCATCTGCACTCCAGCAGTCAACTCAACTGTCTGACTCACTAAGCAAAGCCCCAGTGAGTTGTCAGAGCTGCCTGTGCTGAACAAACACAGCAACACACACGGCTGTGCAACCACCCAGCCATGTCTCCAATGCCTCTGCACTGTGAAGGATAATGAGGAAGATAAAACACATCACATCAATTACCCTGCTAACACATTTTTCCGAGGCCCACGTCAACCGATGCGCCGAAGCCTTTTCTCAGGACTTCTGCGATCCACGTCGGCATCCCGAGACACAGCTGAGTTTTAAATTTAGGCTCACTTAAAATTGCTTGTCAACAGCCGGGGCTTCAGGGGAGAATGCGAAAGTGTGTGTGTGTGTGTGTGCCAGCGAGCAAGCAAGAGAAAAAAATGAGGAGAGCGAAGAGGAGAGGCGAGGTTGGTGCTAGAGGTGAATAATGAAGTGTCTGGTGAAGCTGTTTCCTAGTCAGTCATGACAGTAGCTGATTTCTATCTGAGGGGATTTCAAGAAAACACATGAAACGGGGGGAGCAGAAATTGGCACGAGGATGATACAGAAGAAGAAGTTGTGCTAAGAGCTGTAAAGGTGCACAGACGCAGACTCTGCTTCCTGTCTTGCATTTGAATGCACGTCTAAACGAGAAGAAACAAACGCACGCCAATAAAAGCGCATTACCGCACACGGAGAATAAGAGAAGACGACAGAGAAGGTGTAGCACAAAGCCAGCTGAGATGCTGGGGGAAAGCTAAACGATTTCTTCACATTTCCATAGCGAAAGCACAAGATAAGGTCTCTCCATAAACATATCAGCCATCTTCATCTCCCTTCGCGCCTCGCAAAGCCTGCGTGAGTTCCCGTGCCTGTGTGAATGTCACAACACGGCCATCATTCAACCTGTATCTTCAGCAAATCAATACGTGTCTGACTGTGACATTTAGCCATGTGCAGAAGAGGTGTGTGTCTACATCTTTGCATGTGTGTCACCTTCCCCTTTGCTTTGGCTGATGTATAGTCATACCGAATGATGAAGTGAGTGTGTGTCCGCGTTGGCAGGGGGGAAAAAAAGCATTTGGGAGGGGCGGGGGCTACAAACTGTGTGCGTATGTGCGAACATGCTTCACCCCATATGGCCACAACAGAAATTGCGAATCTGAGGTTACACACCCTTCCTCCAATCACACACACACATACACACACACGTCGCTACTACCAGCACTATCAAAATCCCATCCAGCTGTCCTTGTGGCCACTCGGCAGCATAATAGAGACTCTTTCAGCTCATCAATTTCTCCAGTGCACATTTCTTTTCACTCGGTCATCTGAGAGGTGAAGATTGGCTTGCTTTAACTGAGTTTGTATTAAATCTAATAGAATCTGTCTGGCTTGAATTGATTTGGGAACACGACGAGGTTAGAAATGAGCCATCCCCATCCTGGTAACTGACACCCGTGAGTTGGAGGAGGACCGAGCAGCAAAGATGACAGGAAGACAATCTTTGACAAATGCGAGGAGAAGCATCCTCAACCGAGGTCTTTGCTTTGTATATGTGAGAACATTCACCAGCCTGATAACAGAGAGAAGAGAAATCCAGCAGAAACAGGTGGAATCACAACCGTAGGCCAGAGAGAATTAAAAAAGCCTTTCTCCTCAAAATGTTTCTCAAATAGCACTTTAAATCGCATTTGGCGGTATTAAAATTACTATTACAGTTGCACTTCTTGAACGCGTTTGCTTACTTATTATAATTTGCAGGTGATTATGAGGAGCAAGTCATGCATAAATATTGGCCCACTTTGAAAAGTTGAATAAATTTCACCTTTAGCACGGTTCACGCAGGCGGGGCACTCGCAAATAGAAGTGTGCAAGTCTCTGAGAGAGCGAGCAGAATGAATAAGGCTGCGTTAACAAACTGAAGCGGGGAAAACCTGCCCGTGTGTTACCGATGGTGCAAAAAAAAAAAAAAAGGTGGCAGGTGAACGTCTATTTCGGTCATGCGCCTGCTTCTATTGGATCTGAAAATCAGCCCCTATCGGTCATGGGCTTGGGTGAGCATCAGATCAGCCCTACAAGTTGTATGCTTTGGGCTTTTAATGAGCTGCTTTTATTTCAGTGGATTAAAAGAAGAGAATTTTACATTGTGAGGAGATGACGGCGGTCAGAGTTTTCTGGGCCAAAAGATACTTTAAAAAAAAAAATCCACCAAAGACATTTAATCGCCATTTAATACTTCACTGCGCAGTTCAAAGTAAATGCCAAGGCTTTGGAGGGGAGATAGGAGCAGTCTTAGAAGCCGGCAGATACCGAATCAAGCAAAGGGGGTCGGCGGGGGGGGGCTGTGACTTTAGCTGTCTTGATGTCCCTACTTCAAGCGCAGATAAGGCTGTCATGAGAGTTAAAGGTGATTTTGAAGGGGGCATTTCCTCTGACAAGGACATTTAATGCAAAAATGAGGTAGTATGTGAAATAATAATAAAAATAAATAAGTAAATCATTCCTTCCGAGCTCAATTCTGTAGCAAAGCACTTATGGCAACAAGTCTACTGCCAAACAGTGACCCGTACATTACAGTGGAAAGCAGTACAGTGCAGACAGTTGAGTTGTGTGCTTCAGATTAACAAACGTACAATTATTGAGGAAGAGGAGGACGGCAAAGCCCAGCGTCGATGTGGCCAGCAGGATCAGACAGATGTTGCAGGGGATCATGAAGTAGCGCACCACCAGCGACACTTTGTGCTGGTACCTGCGGTCCCGCTCTTGCGGCGGCGGTGAGGGATAGTGGCACCCGCTCATGCTCCACTCCAATGACCCGCGCCCCTCCAGCGTAGAGGAGACGACGGGACGAGGAGCTCGACGAGGGGTGCCCAAAGACCCGTTGGAAAAAATGATGGCGGTGGGTTAGGGGTGACAGGTGGTGAAGATAAACTGAAATTTAATACAAAAAAAACAACAACAACAAAAAAATAGATGGTGGCTGTTTCAGTTGTGGTTCCAGCTGTGCACCGTGGCAGAGACCCCGTGACTGTTTCTGTCAGAGAATTGCAGCAGGAAGCTTTCAGCGGTTTCCAAGCAGCACATTTTTAGAGGTAATAACATCCATTTGGGGAAGAGGACAGGCTGAAGGGACGGGGGACTCCTACAGCCCCCCACCCGTCCACACGACCTCCATTCTCCTGTGGCCGCTGGAACAAAAAACAAACTAATGGGATTCTAATGTGGAAGTATGCTTGTGTGTGTTCTCGTGTGTTTTATACTTACAGAG